TTGACTCCTTAAAGATAACAAAGGGCAGATTTTCTGAAAGAATCAGTCACTAGGGATCTCCTGAACTCATGGGTTATAGTTCACATTGGAACTTGTATGGAGTTAGATGCCAGGGAAAGACTGGTAATCAAAGTTGCAAACTGACCAGTCATGGTGGCTCAAGCCCATAATCCCAGCACTTTGGGAGGCCGAGGCGGGTGGATTACCTGAGGTCAGGAGTTGGAGACCAGCCTGGCCAACATGGCAAAACTCTATTTCTACTGAAAATACAAAAATTAGCTGGGCATTGTAGCACATGCCTGTAATCCCAGCTACTTGGGAGGTTGGGGCAGGAGAATCACTTGAACCTGGCAGGTGGAGGTTGCAGTGAGCCAAGATAGCACCATTGGACTCCAGTCTGGGCAACAGAATGAGACTCTGTCTCAAAAAAAAAATAATTGCAAACTGTCTTAATATATATATATTTTTTGAGATGGAGCCCCACTCTGTCACCCAGGCTAGAGTACAGTGGCTTGATCTCAGTCACTGCAACCTCCGCCTCCTTGGTTCAACAAATTCCCCTGCCTCAGCCTCCCGAGTAGCTGGGATTACAGGCACATGCCACCACGCCCGGCTGTTTATTTTGCATTTTTAGTAGAGACAGCATTTCACCATGTTGGTCAGGCTGGTCTCAAACTCCTGACCTTGTGATCTGCCTGCCTTGTCCTCCCAAAGTGCTGGGATTACATGCGTGAGCCACGACCATGCCTGGCCCAATAATGTTTTTGATAGAGTGCTACACAGGCTGATAGAGTGTAACTGGTCAACAGTAGAATAATGGTCTTTAAAGCCTGTTTGCTTCTCAGTAGAAAAAATGGCTTGAGAAAATAGATTTAAAATTTGTTAAGTGGGAGTAGAAGAAAGCCTTTTTAAAAAAGGTATAGGTTTATTCTGAGTTCATCCATTTCAGTTCTTACCAGATGTATTAGTCCATTTTCACAGTGCTATAAAAAATACCTGACTGGCCAGGCATGGTGGCCCAGCCTGTAATCCCAGCACTTTGGGAGGCTGAGGCTGGCAGATCAGAGATCAGGAGTTCGAGACCAACCTGGACAACGTGGTGAAACCTTGTCTTTACTAAAAATACAAAAATTAACTGGGTGTCATGTCAGGCACCTGTAGTCCCAGCTACTTGGGAGGTTGAGGCAGGAGAATCACTTGAACCCAGGAGGCGGAGGTTGCAATGAGCCAAGGTGGCACCACTGCACTCCAGCCTGGGCAACAGAGCAAGACTCTATCTCAAAAACAAACAAACAAACAAACAAAACAACCAGAACTACCTGTCAGGGTAATTTATGAAGAAAAGATGTTTAATTGACTCACAGTTCTGCAGGCTGTTCAGGAATCATGGCAGGAAGGCCTCAAGAAACTTACAATCATGGCAGAAGGTGAAGGGGAAGCAAGCACCTCTTACCACGGCGGAGCAGGAGAGAGGGACAATGAAGTGGGACGAGCCACACATTTTTAAATACCCAGATCTTATGAGAACCACAATCACAAGAACAGCAAGGGGGACATCCACCTCCATGATTTAATCACCTCCCACCAGGTCCTTCTCCCAGCATTGGCAATTACAATTTGACATAAGATTTGGGTGGGGACACAGAGCCAAACCATATTAGTAGGCCTATTACCGGTGTAAGTGGACGGCCAGGATTTGGAACACACCAGTCATATTGAACTTTGGACAGTTGGAGGTCCAGGAAGTTTTCACTGTGGCTTGACATAATTTGGGTATCATAACACCAGGGCTAGGAGGTGTGGGCTTTGCAGTTAGACAGGCCTGGATTGGGGTCATGGCTTTGCCACTGAACCAGCTGTGAATACTCAAGCAAGTGGCCAGTCTTTCTCAGCCCCATTTTCCTTGTTTATAAAATCAAGGTAATAGCATCTACTAAGAGAGGTGCTGGGAGGTTTAAATAAGGGAATACACATAAAATACTTAGCACTATGTTTAACACATTGTTGGTGGCTATTGTTCGTGTACTTTAAAATTAATTCTACATGTATAAATAGTTTCTTTTCCAGAATCTGATCAGAGTAAGGACCTAGGAAGATTGAGAAAACAGCCTCCAGGTCCTATAATTGAGAAAATTAAGCCTCCTTGAAGTCTAAAGTTGGGTCTAGAATTCCATAATCTCAGTTCTAAATCTGATCTCATTACTGATTTTATAGCCAAGAAAGCAAAAAAAACATTTACATAAGGTCTTAATTGGATCAGATTCAGCCCCCACTTTAATATTAGCTTTCATGTGTCATGTGATTAACCTGTCCAAGATTTTTTTTTTGCTGTCCTTTCAAGCCAAGAATTGGAAGGCTGGGCCCAAGTCTGGCAAACATGGGCCTAATGCAGAAAGCCAACTTTAAAATATATAATCTCTTTAATAATCTTAACAGACATAAAAAATAAGCTACAATCTAAAAATTTAAGAGGCATAAAAAGAAACACAAAAATAAATGAAAAAAATAGAAACTAAAATAGTTTCATTTTAAAAGAAAAAACAATTTGAGTTGAACTTTTAATGAAAGATAAAAATAGAAAATGTTTTTATAAAAAGGTAAGAAAAATGTAAGGCAAGAACTCAGAAATGAAACAGTGCGAGTTAGAACAGATTACTAAAATGGCACAGCTATATAAAGGCATAGAAGTTTTAAAAACAAGGTAAAAATATGTCCTCCACAAAGATAAAGAATAAATTCATCTGAAAGTAGGCGAGCAGCATAATTTTGAAGCAGGTCCTCTAAACGGGAGCAATTTACCCAAGCTGATCCTCTGCAGAGCCTGCTGAGGGCAGGGCTACCAGTTAGTGATATTGACACCCTTTGTGCAGTCCTCCTGAGCCATTCATTAAGGTCCTTAAGCTGTAATATTTGGGTCATCCCTCTTGGCAGCTCCAGGCTATGGGGTATTGTTATCCCTGTTTTACAGAGGAGGAAACACAAGTTTGGATGCATACCTTGCCCCACTAGCAGGTGGTGGAGTAGGAGCCCAGAGTGATGATAAAACCCATGCTCTTTTTCTCATTTTTTGCCATCCAGGAAGCATCGTTATCATTATTAGCAGGAAAGATAATAGGCCAGGGGCAGTGGCTCATGCCTGTCATCCCAGCACTTTGGGAGGCTGAGGCAGGTGGATCACTTGAGGCCAAGAGTTCAAGACCAGTCTGGCCAACATGGCGAAACCTGATTCTACTAAAAAAATACAAAAATTAGCCAGGCGTTCTGGCAGGCGCCTGTAGTACCAGCTACTAGGGAGGCTGAGGCAGGAGAATCGCTTCAACCCAGGAGAGGGAGGTAGCAGTGAGCCAAGATGGCGCCACTGTGTGCGCTCCAGCCCCGGCAACAGAGTAAGACTCTGTCTCAAAAAAGACAAAAACAAAAACAAACAAAAAAGCCTAAAATAACAGAATTCCTCTCCTCCTCATTCTCCCCCCTCCCCCTGTCAAGGTTACCTATTCATTAGGAGAGAATGCCACTCTTAAATGTCCCAGCAATGGGAAACGTGCAGTTTATGCTAATAATGTGCTGTTACATTTTTTATATTTTCTCCTCCCATTTTTTTTTGTGAGAGTTTATCCAGTTATTCAAACATTTGCTTCAGTTCTAAATTACTGAAACATTACTAAATATTTCTTTGATGTGGCCCCTTTCCTCCATCTTCACTGCCACTACCAAGTTCAGGTCACCATCTTGTCCTTCCGTGTGTTAGTTTCTGTGTCTACTGTGATAAATTACCACATACTTGAGCGACTTAAAATGACAGAAATGTATCCCTCACAGTTCTGGGGGCCAGAAGTCTGAAATCAAGGTGTGGGCAGGGCTGCGCCCGGTCCTGAGCCTCTAGGTGAGGGTCTGTTCCTTGCCTCTTTCAGCTTCCAGTGACCACGGCATTTCCCAGCTTGTGGCTACATCACTCCAGTCTCTGCCTCTGTGGTCACATTGCCCCTTCTCTGTGCTTGTCACATCCCTGCCTCCTCTTATAAGGATACGTGTGATTGCATTTAGGGCTCACCCAATAATCCAGGAGAATCTGCCTGTCTCAAGATCTTCAATTTACTCACATTTGCAAAGACCCCTTGTTGGCATATTAGACAACATTTACAGGTCCCAGGGATTGGGATGTAGATGTCTTTTAGGGGGCCATTTTTCATCCTATGGCACCACTAGACTTTTGCAGCCCTCTCTGCCTCCTGCCCTCCACCCTGCAGCCCGAGTTCCTCTAAACATGCAGATCATGTCATGGTCAGCTTTAAAGCTCTTCACATGTACCCCAAAACCTAAAATGCAATAAAATAAATTTAAAAAAAAACAAAACAATAAAAACTCCTCGCTGGTTCTGGGGGCCATCCTGTTTCCCAGTGTGGCCTGTGAATACCTCTCTATCTTCCTGTCCCTTGCTCCTCCCTTCCTCATTGTGGTCCACCATGCCCCACTTCTTCCTGTTACCTGGAGAAGCTGGATCCGCTCTCTCTGGGCCTTGGTGTGACACTTTGCTACCTCCTCACTCTTTGTTTGGCCCATGCCGCTTCATGATTCAGTTCTCATTCCTTCACTTCACTTTGAAGTCTAAGTTTTCTTGGCCTTTACTTCCTCCAAGAAAGCTTGCTCTCCGCGTGCTGGGCCGGGTGCACTTTTCTGCATGCCCCATCTGAGCTCTCACCTGAGGGGCCATGTCCACCTTTCATGGGATGTGTTCCCTGCACCTGACACAGTGCCTGCCACACAGGAGACTTACCTGTTTGTTGGTGAGAATGCCTATAGGAGGGGAACCTCTGCATCCACCCACCAAGAGAAATACTGAAGCAAAGGGCACTAATCCACGTAGAAGTCTTTGCTGCAGTGATTATATATGTGAATGCCAAAAGTTTCCATAGCTCATTATTTTTAAGCAAAAAACTAAGAACCACGTGATTGTGAGATCGAAGAAAATATTTTCATCTTCTTGTTCTGTTTTCTTTCAGGCCATTCCTGTGTTTCTCACTTTGCATAATGTAGCTGAAGTTATCATCTGTGGGTACCAGAAGTGTTTTCGGAAAGAGGTAAACGATCATGCAAAATGCTGGTGTTACTTCCTTGCTTTAAATTTCAAAGAAGCACTTTTCTTTTTATGGTCCAGATTAGTGTCTGCCTTTTCCTGCCACCAGTCTCCAGGAAAGACTGCCTGACAGTGGTCACTGATACCATGGGACACAGTTTGGACTTTGCTGCAATTCACCAGACATATGTGGGAATATTGTTGATGTGAACAGAGCTCAGCTCCAGGCCAGGCTGACCCAGACCCTTGGGAGACAAGAGTTTGCTGTGGGCCTGTGGGGAAGCATTCCCGTCCCCAGCCAATCCAGCACCACAGGACAAGGCGTAACAGAGTTTCACACAGGGTGCTGCGGCACTAGCCCAGCCCAGGGAAATTTGCTTTTCTCTGCAATCCCAGCTATACCTCATACCAGAGAGAACAAGCTCCTTCACCTTCCAGGCCTCCATCTGTGCAAGGTGGTAATAATAACACCAGCTTGAACAAGGCGGTGTCATTGTTACTACCTTGCACGGTCCTTGTTTTTCGAAAGACTCAGCAACTTCCCCTGTTAAGTGAGTGTTTCCAGCTGTTTCAGCACGCGGTAGGTGTTCTGCACATCAGCAACAATTAGTAATGTTATTAGAGGTGGTTTTAACTTGATCTTTCTTTTGGGAGTTTTTTTTTTCTGGAATTTGCTTTTTTGATTTCACGTCAATTTTTGGAACATTTCAATTTATTTTTATTTTAGAGACAGGGTCTTGCTCTGTTGCCCAGGCTGGAGTGCAGTGGCACACTGATAGCTCCCTGCAGCCCCAGATTCCTGGGCTCAGGTGATCTTTCTGCCCCAGCCTCCTGAGCAGCTGGGACCACAGGCATGAGCCACTGCACCTGGCTACTTTTAAATTTTTATTTGTAGAGATAGGGTCTTGCTATGTTGCCTAGGCTATTCTTGAACTCCTGTGCTCAGATGATCCTCCTCTTGCCTCAGCCCCTGAAAGTGTTGGAATTACAGGTGTTAAACATCACATCCTGCCCAATGTTTGGAACTTGTAAACTAGAGAGAGGCCAGCTGGCCACCTCAGGCCACATGCTTACAGCTGTGCAGGAAGGGAGCCCATGGCCATACCCGACCTCCCTCTGTCATCCCACGGCTCCTTGGAGGTGGCTCTGTCAGTCACCTCTCCTCTCTCCTATACTGTGAGCCTCTCCCTCGCTGCTGGCTTAGTTTCCTGGGCCCATAAACATGCTTGGTGATATCAGTGCACTGAGGAGAGGGTGGGCTCTCCTTCCCATGTGACAGTGAGAGAGAGGAGAGACTCACTTCACCAGCCCTGGAAGGGCGTGTTTACAAAACCAACCCTCACGCAGGAAAATCTCAAGCTGCCTTGCCTGGGCACCTCCTACTCTGCCTCACCGCTTCTCTCCCCTCCCCTGCCACAGGCCTCAGACAGGGCCGGGCTTGGTGTTGTCCCTGCCCTCTTGTCCCTGTCACTTCTGTTGCTCCTGCTTGCCCCCCACCATTCTCCTGAGACTGCCCTGGCTGAAGGCACTGGCGGCTTCATCTGTGCAACTTATCATGTCTGTTTCCATGATTGCCCCCCCACTTTCTCCCCAGCCTCTCTGGGCCCCCTTGGCCTCCATGCCCACTTCTTGCTTGGTTCCCTTCCTGGGTCTTGGGCTTTTCCTTCATCTGTCTTTCTCTTCCTTTTTGTCTGCCTCTTCAGGGTCTCTCTGGGCTGTTTCCTTATGCCACACACTTTCTGGAAAATCTCATCCGCACCCATTGCGCCAGCCACCTTCTGTTCATAGAGGACCTGCAAGTCTCCATCTCCAGCCCAGACCTCCCTGTTGAGCTAAGCTCCCCTGCAGCACCCTGGGGCTTGCTGAGCTGTGGTTCTCCATGGGCATCTGAAATGAAACCGATCTGTTTCTCCAGACCTGCTTCTCACTTGGTAGCCCCAATCCTGGTCATCATCCCCAAGTCAGAAACCTAGGAGGCTCTTTGGACTCCCCGTATCCCCTCCCCACCACATCGGGCCTGTTACCAAGTCTGTGCCTCCTCCACCCTAGTTCAACCCTCATCTTCTTCTCCAGGCTGCCTGGCCAGGACTGTGGAAGAAGAGCTTGATCCCCTGAGCCCTTGGGCAGGGCCTGGAGTGAGGAGCCCTGGGCTTAGACAGTTGTGGTTTTCTATTTGGCAGTCCCACCGCCAAGGCTGGGAGGTGGAGGCCTCTCAGCACTTGGGCCGGTCTCTGCAGCTGGAGGGTTCCCTGGATGGACACTTGTCTCTGACGTTTGACTTACAGCACCATCGTGCAGTTTCCATAGTCCATCAGTTCTAGCATGTGGCTCTTAAAATCAATGATGTGACCTGGTATAATTTCTACATAAAATAAGTGGAAGTTTTACAATCAATGGTGTCTTAGAGGAGATACTGCATTATTTTTCCCGTGTCTCAGGCCAGCTTCCCTGAGCCCCGGGACTGAGTTAAGGAATCACTAAATGGTCGCTGAGGTTCAATGGCAGAACCTCTCTGAGAGTGGCTTCGCCCTGGGAACCTGACCTGTGCAAATTCCAGAAATTGTATTCTCCAAAGGGATTCTTTCTTCTTTTTTATTTTTTGAGACAGAGTCTTGCACTGTCACCTGGGCTGGAGTGCAGTGTCATGATCTCTACGCACTGCAACCTCCGCCTTCTTGGTTCAAGCGATTCTTCTGCCTCAGCCTCCCAAATAGCTGGGATTACAGGCGTCTGCCACCATGCCCAGCTAATTTTTTGTGTTTTTACTAGAGACGGGGTTTCGCCATGTTGGCCAGGCTAGTTTCAAACTCCTGACCTCATGATTAGCCCTCCTCGGCCCCCTGAAGTGCTGGGATTACAGGCGTGAGCTACCACGCCCACCCAAGATACTTATGAATTTAGAAATGAAGACTTACGTGGTCTAGGGACAAGATCAAGGCATCTGCACAGGGTTTTGCTTCCTGATGGGTAGGTCAGAACCTGTAGACGAGGGTGACTGTAAGACTCAGGGTTAGAAAGTCTTTTAGGGATGTTTCCATCCAGCAGGGGACCTCTTCCATTCTAGAGACCAGGGCAGATGTCTGTCTGAGAGGCCCTGACCTTGGAAATAACTGAATGAACACCATAAGATTTTGAATCTTCAACTCCATTTCATCACTAACCCAAAACATCATTTCTTGTCAGGACAAACTAGAAAAACAGTGAGTGGGTAACTTTTTTTTTTTTTTTTTTTTTTAAATCTGTCTCTTCTTTATAAATCTAAGAAGATTTGAGATGTCATAGAAAATACAGAGGGAGGCCAGGCACAGTGGCTCATGCCTGTAATCCA